GTATGTGCGTGGGTGTTTACATACATTCATAAAATATACATAGATACATATATATATATCAACACATACACATATATATACAGTTAGAGAGAGAGAGAGAGAGAGAGAGAGAGAGAGAGAGAGAGAGAGAGAGAGAGAGAGAGAGAGAGAGAGAGAGAGAGAGAGAGAGAGAGAGAGAGAGAGAGAGACAGAGAGACAGAGAGACAGAGAGACAGAGAGACAGAGAGACAGAGAGAGAGAGAAGAGAGAGAGAGAGAGAGAGAGAGAGAGAGAGAGAGAGAGAGAGAGAGAGAGAGAGAGAGAGAGAGAGAGACAGAGACAGAGACAGAGAGAGAGAGAGAGAGAGGAGAGAGAAGAGAGAGAGAGAGAGAGAGAGAGAAGAGAGAGAGGAGAGAGAGAGAGAGAGAGAGAGAGAGAGAGAGAGAGAGAGAGAGAGAGAGAGAGAGAGAGAGAGCATAATAAAATCCAAAACTTACCATTTCAACCAAATTGAGAAATCTGGTTTCAGAGGATGAAGTGTTTGACAGACAGACTCCTGCAGAATTACACAGCAACAAAAGAAATCCTGCAAACATGATAATATATGAATAACCATTGTTATTTTTGGATAGTTTGCCCAAACATTAGCTTTTACATGAATGAAATTTCTACTCATAACTTAGAAACATCCTGAACAGTCCATAAAAGGATCAAGCATAATGAAACTGAACCACTGCTACTACAAAAATATTCAAACCAAATTCTTCTGCCTAAATATAAAACCTCTCTCACCAAATGAGTCGAGAAAATCTTGTATTGTCCAATTCCTGGAATTCCATATTACTCTTATATAGACTAATGTGCATTGATAAAAAAAGAAAAAAGACATCATGACCATTATGTAAAAAGGTATGAATGATTCCAGAGTGTAAAATATGTTACTGATAATACACATTCCTCAGAATTGTGTAATTCTGAAGAATGAAAGCAATGAGAAAGCAATGATAGAAATGGGCTTATAGCATGACAAATACAATCCATTATTCAAAGCCACTTCTCCATGATTCAGATACAACAGAATTTATTTTTGTCAATCTTCATTATATTGTGCTACATATGCTATCATTTTCGTGAGCAAAAGTATATGTAACATGAATTTCTATGAAAGTTTAATTTGCTTGTATACTAAAAGAAAGAAAGGTGTCTGTATGATTTAAAAAACTAATTTGTACTGACATGAGAATAAAATGCTTGTTCAGGATAGCTTCTCCTCATACAATTAACTGAACAATGACTGTTATCACATAATATGCAGCACAAGGCTAAGAAGGATGCAAAATGTATATAATACTAAGTTAGTTTAGCTTAGCTTATCTAAGCTTCAAATAAGTTGGGTCAGGTTAGTATTTAGCATTCCTCTCCCTATACTTGGAAAAGGGAGGATGCTAATATGAGAATAATTTACAAGGCAAAAGAAAACTGATTCATTATGAAATAAAAATGCATACGAAAAGCAGACCTTGTCTTTGACATAAACAGATGTCTGTTACTATAAATACATCATGAGCTGGATGAGGGGTTTCATGGTTTAACTGAAAAAAAAGTAAATAAAAGCTCTATCATACCCTTAAATTTCTGCTTTTTGTATGACCTTGCCGACTGGCAGAAAATTATTACAGATCTTTCCGTCATACTACCACTGGGTACAAAAGGAACTCAATTCAATTTGCAAAGGATACACCAAGTGAATGAATAATTTAAGACACTATTACATGATTTTACCTTATATGAAGCAGATGTGTCCACCACATCATCCTAAACCAATATTTTTCATGGCCCCCTCAAGCCTGTTGGAGTGCGAGAAAGTTGGGTTACTGATTTAGAAACCAAAAGTTACCATAGGAAAGAAACATCTTATTTCTTCCGATCACATCAAATGCAGTAAGAAATCCTAAACATGGTCAGACACTGTTGTCGTAAGTGAAACATCTCCCATTCATTGTTATACAATAATCCAGACTGGATGCATAGAAAGCTTAACAACAACAAGGCAGAATGACATAAAAGGATAACCATCCAGTTTATAAGTCCATGAAGGAGCCCTCTGGCAAAGGTCATTGGACCTCCAGCAAGTTATATCTCATTGCTTAAAATTGGGCTGAATTACAGCACACAGTTGACTGACCTACATATAGATCTTGCTGTTCTCTATTTCAGATAATTACCCTTTTTTATACTCATGTCTCTTATGCATTGCGATGGAAGAGTTATTTTTTGCGGTTAAGTTGTAAAAAATACGATCAATGCGACCTGTTTACTATTTATGTAGATCCTTATATGATTCTACTATATATTTGGAAAATTCGCATTTCAAGCTGCTTTATCTTGTTCTTCTGTTTAACTTCAGTCTATAAAGCAAGAAAATCAAGTGGTATCCGAAGCACAAACGTCAAAATCCAACGTTTTGGACTTCTCACCGTGTTTGTTTTCGATCAGCTGATTTTTGTCAACAAACCGGGAG